TATGTATGCATGCATGCATGCATGCATGCATGCATGTATGTATGTATGTATGTATGTATGTATGTATGTATGTATGTATGTATGTATGCATCCATGCATGCATGCATGCATGCATGCATGTATGTAACTGTGCATTCACGCATGCATGTATGCATGCATGTATGTATGTATGTCTGTATGTCTGTATGTGTGTATGTATGTATGTATGTATGTATGTATGTATGTATATATATATATATTTATATCGGAGGTGAGGGGGTGAGGTCGAAGTGGAACGGAGAGCCCCTCTACGGGGAAATCGGTTTCGGTTTCGTGTTCGTGCGTGCCGTGCGTGCGGGCGAGGCGAAGCTGCGTGGGCGGGCGAGAAGAAAGTCTCCTCCAGCTGAGGCGCGGCCGGACCAAATGATTCTTTTCCGGGGGCCGGTGGCCCGCGGTGTCCCGCTGGTGTCCCGCCTCTGGACCAAATCATTCCTTTCCGGGGGCCGGTGGCCCGCGGTGTCCCGCCGGTGTCCCGCCGGTGTCCCGTCGGTGTCCCGATGATGATGATGATGATGATGATGATGATGATGATGATGATGATGATGATGATGATGATGATGATGATGATGATGATGATGTCGATGATCTTGGTGATGATGATGATGATAATGGTGATGGTGGTGATGATGATGGTGTCCCGATGATGATGATGATGATGATGATGATGATGATGATGATGATGATGAAGATGACGATGATGATGATGATGATGATGATGATGATGATGATGATGATGATGATGATGTTGACGATGATGATGATGATGATGGTGATGGTGGTGATGATGATGGTGCCCCAGTGCTGATGATGTTAATGATGATGTTGCTGATGATGATGGTACCCCAATGATGATGATGTTGATGACCCCGATGATGTTGATGATGATGAGATGGTGATGAGCTGATGATGAAGATGATGATGATGATGGTGTCCCGATGATGATGATGAGGTTGATGATAATGCTGTTGATCATGATGGTGATGATGATGGTGTCCCGATGATGACGATGTTGAGTGAGATGATGACGATGATAGTGTCCCGATGAGGATGATGTTGATGATAGTGATGATGATGAGATGATGATGATTTTGATGATACTGGCCCGATGATGGTGATGATGATGATGTTGATAATGATGGTGTTTCGATGATGATGTTGATAATGACGGTGTTTCGATGATGATGACGATGATGATGGTGTCCCGATGATGACGATGTTGCGGATGATGATGGTGCTGTCCCGATGATGGTGCTGATGATGTTGTACATGATGATGAGGAGGAGATGATGATGATGGTGGTGTTCCGATGGTGATGATGATGATGATGGTTTTCCGATGATGATGTTGATGATGTTGGTGAGGATGATGGTGTCCCGATGATGATCGTGATGATGCTGTTGATGATGATGGTGATGAGGTGATGATGATGATGGTGTCCCGATGGTGATGATTTCGATGACGTTGATGACGATGTTGTTGTTGATGATGATAACGTTAATTGTGAGATCGATTGTGATATCGATAGTGAGATCGACCGTGCGACCGAATGTGAGATCGATTGTGAGATCGATCGTGAGATCGATAGTGAGGCCGATTGTGAGATCGATCGTCAGATCGATTGTGAGAGCGATCGAACGAAATAGATCGAGTGAGATCGATTGTGAGATCGATCGAGTGAGATCGATCGAGCGAGACCGATAGTGAGATCGATAGTGAGATCGACAGTGAGTCTGATCGAGTGAGACGTTGGTTCCTCCCCGCCCCCCGAATCTCCTTATCACCCGAAGGGTGGTCGTATAGGTACATATCGGAGGTTCGGGGGTGAGTCCGACGTGAAACGGAGACCCCCCCTACCGGGAAATCGATTTCGGTTTTCGGGTTCGTGTCGTGCGTGCCGTTTGTGCGTGCGGGCGAGGAGAAGCTGCGTGTGGCTGGGCCGTGGCCAGACCAAATGTAACTCCTCCAGCGGCCAGTACCCCGCGGTGTCCCGCCGGTGTCCCGCGGGTGTCCCGAAGTCCTCCTGTGGCTGGGCCGCGGCCGGACCAAATGTGACTCCTCTGGCGGCTGGTGCCCCGCGGTGTCCCGCTGGTGTCCCACGGATATCCCGCCGGTGTCCCGCCGGTGTCCCGTGGTGTCCCGTGGTGTCCCGTTGAGTGAGATCGAGAGTG